AACATCGAAGCAGTTTACGTAACTAGAATTATAACATTAATAAAATTTCTTTAGCTAAGAAAATAAGAAAAATAATTTTTGTTAAAAACTTACTTTGTTAGTTTAACACAAAGTGGCATAAGGCAGATATAAACAGGCACTAAGGAAGTTAAATATGCCCCGAGTTGTTGTGAAGAAATTTATTATTGTCTTTTTCTTCGAAAAATATTCTCCAATCTTTACTCACCCACTTTGGTGGCCGGAGCTGCATGCAACAGTATGGCCCGTGACATCGGATCGATGACATCTCGTATAAAGCCTAAAGTCGAGCCTAAATATAATTCCCACCAATATATTGCGGCAGCAGGAACAGTGCTTTCGAAAACAGGACTAGCCAAAGAGATTAAAGTCATTCCAACAATGGAGAATTGGAACATAGGAGCATCTTAGCATAGAAAGTAACAAATAAAAATAAAATAAGGAAAAAATCGTTTTCATGCTCTGCAACGCTTGCTTTTCTCAAGAAATACATTCCAATAATACTGTCCCAATTGTACGATTATAAGCGTTGCATTAAAAACAGTGTAATCTTTTAAAGTGCATTGAAATTGATTTCTCACGAACAAATAAGAAGCATTGTCGTGGCTCGCTATAATGAAATCAATTAGAAAAAAATCTAACTATGCAAGGCACTTACCAATTACAAACAAAGTTAGAGTTAAAGCCATTATTGTTAACCGAATAATAGGGCGGTCATAATTAAGACGACGCTTTGAACAAGTACGTAACGAAATCAAGGTAGAACAATTCACGTATTTTAGACAACGGGCAAATTTAAAAAAAAATTTTTTTAAGAATTTAAATTTAATTGGTTTTGGCTTTAGACTTTCCACCATAAACGCAAAACAAATGACAGTGCTAAAAACAGTAATGTACTTGATATGGTGAGCATCGTAATTGCATTAGTGGCCTCATATACGTAGCCAGTTAAAATATTGCCAATCATCATGCAAGCATGTAAGCTGGCTTCATTCAAAACCATTCTCAAAAGAACAAATGCATCGTTAAGATTTAGCTATTCATTTACCTTAAAGCTCGAGGTTTTGCTTTAGCTACATCTGATATGTAACAGTAGATTCCAGTAATTAAACCACAAGTGTCACCACTCATTACTGATGGTACTGAACAAAGAAGAAATAACTGTGGATTAATAAAAACTTTTGAAATTGAAACAGTTGCAATAGTTCCGTTAATCAAGTAACCTGCAAAAATGTTGTGATTAAGAAAGATAAGAGAAAATTTGTTAACTTTTTTATTACTAGTAAATGTAGTGAAAGGTATCGGACGTCTGCTTTCCCACTAAGGTTTCTACTTTCCTTAGGTATCAGGCCCATAACGCTGTTATAGTCGAAAGCAGGGACAAATTTTGAAGAAGAGCCATCAGAAATGTTTATGAAAATTCTTTTAGGTTTTGTTTGTTTCTTTTTTTTATTTTATATACCCTACTCCACTTGTCGTACAAGGGCGTACTAGGTTAGTGCGTTGAAATAGATGATAATCTATCGAGCCCAATTCGGACAAATAAATGCGAAACTGTTTGGCATCTGGGTATTGAGAAAATATCAACGAATCTTGACATTAATACAAATTAAATGCGAATACGCGGAAAGCTATAAACGTTGCGCAAATGACGGCGAAGCATTTGTTCATTTTCGACAGGAAATAAACTAACGCTGCCGAATACCAACTTGTAAAGCCTTAGATGAGGATTCGGTCTTTCCATGTTAGTATCCATTTCATGCATTTTGCCCAATAAAGAATGCAAAAGTAGCAAATGGAGGAGAAGTTACGGGATTAGCTAAAAAATAATTGGCTACTATTTGCAGTGGCGGATTCTTGTGTACGCGTTCAACCATGTACTAGTCGTAGGGAAAATCTCTTGAAAATTTTGTGAGTGCATCATGAGAAACTAAAATTGTGAGAAATTAGTATGAAAATGTACAGTTATCTCAATTGACTACATACGATGCCACTGAACTGCTCTTCATTCACTTGATGCCATATTAGTAAAACTTTAACTCTAACATATGCTGATATATCGTTGATGTGCATCAATAAAGTTTTGTAATGGGCATAGCATTAAATTATACAATTGTATCAGAAATTTCCTGCGTTTAACGTTCCAATCAGGATATTCGCTGCTATGGTCTGGTGGCGGCACATATTGTTTCTTAATCTAAAATTAAATAGAAATTGGTAAAGTTATAAATGACGATCAGTAAAGATAAATGCAGACTTACCATTGTAATACAGCGAAAGTTGCGAGGAGTGGAGGAGTTGGCGCGCGAGGGGGCTGACTATGGTCCGGCGGCGGCATATATTGTGTCTTTCTACTGCTGCGCATAAAACTTTTATTGCGAGGAGCGGAGGAGTTGACTCCTTAGAATGACGTTATGTTGATATTCTACACGAGTAAATTTGTCGTTCACTCCGTTACTGCGGGATCCCGCTGTCTGGAAAAAGGCAAGCTGTGCCACGATGGTTGCCTGCAGGCGCTTGCCGATGTTCTGCACCACCTTATGGTGGTGCTTAGCAGCGCAGAACGCGTTGTAGGCGCGCCTTCAAGCGTGAAATCTGTCAGGCATGCCCGGCACGCGAGCTGCTCACCGATGTATCACGCTATTGCGTACTCGGTGGTCAGTCCCCGATGTTTTTTTTCGGTGCTTGACCTCCTCTTGAGGATTGTAACAGGCACTGTAGTGGGGAGTGAAAAAAAAGGGAAACAAAAAGGAAAGGTTTGGCAACCTCGGAAAAAAGCGACAAGCGGCGCGTAGGAATAAAGAAAAGAAAAAACTTGGGGGACACTGGAAAAAAAGAGCAAAAAGAAAAAAAGGTTCTGCATAATGGCGTAGAGTGGTTTTGTTTGATTTTACTTTTTGTGGATTTGTAGCGTAATTTTTAAAGGAAATCTTTGTGAGTGTTCTTAAGATATTATAAAAATATTGAAAGGGAGAAATTTCACTTTCGTGCCATCTATAAATCGATGGAATTATTCCAATCAATCTGATGAATTCTTGCCAAAAATGGCATGTGATAAAACCTTGTGACTTTGGTGCATAACAACAACAAAACCTACAAATCATTTATGGTCGCCTTTTACTTTCGAAATTGTAAAAATATATAAAAGGAGAAACTCCACTGCCGTGCAATCGATATATCAATGGAATCATTCCAAATATTTTAATGAATTCTTGCCGAAAGTGGCATGTGTTTAAAAACTTGTGACTATGAGCAAAATTTTTAAAAGCCTACTTTAACCGTGATATTAAGAAATTATAATAAAATTTAAAAGAACAAATATCACTTCCATGCGATCCATATATCGATGAAATTAATCCGATTGATTTAATGTAATCTTGCCGTAAGTGGCGCGTGCATAAAGACTTGTGACTCTGTGGTAAAACAACAACAAAATCTGCAAATCATTTGTGGTTGCGATACGATCGTTTTGGTTCTACCTTGACACGTTTTTTTTGAGAAGAAGAAAAAAGATGGCGTTCCGCGGATTCTTCTAGCGTGCCAATTCTTCGTTCGTTGGGAGAGTTTAAAATAAACCTAGTTTTGTGGTGCCGTCGTGATTTAACGAAAGGATAGCTATTGTGTTGAGTCGTTCAAGGAAACGATAACCGGATTTCCCACATCTTTAATAACGAAAAAGGGCCCGAAGCAAAAAGGGAAAAAAATATAAGAAGGAAGGAAGTTAAATCGTCCGGCGTAACGACGGGAGCACACCGTCTCTATGAGGGAAGCAAACCTTGGCTTATCCTACGAGTATTAGTACCTTATTATTAATTCTACTTTTTTTACGATAATTCCAGCACTTATAATTGCTTAAAGCACCTTTCAGCTGCAGCGATGCGCATCGGCGTGGTTGGCGGTTTCAGTAATTCGTTTATTAAAATTAATTATTAACCAAGAGCGTAAATTTTGTATCGGTAATGTTACACTAATTCGTATTAAGATGGTGATAAGCTTGGATACTAACTATTGTTCCTTTTTTTTTTTAAATTTGTGAATTATACATATGGAATTAAAACTGTGGATTACATTCATTGAAAGGGAGAGTAAAGAAATGCGTTGTTATTAAAGGTAACAGTACTGGTAAGACTTCGGGCGAGAGGCGGAGAGGCGAGGTAGAGGCTAGGTGATCAGGGCATGGGTTGGATTGGTTTAAAGTTTTTTTTCCAGATTTCACAATAAGCATGTTTTTATTCTAAAATAAGAAAATACCGTAGCGAGGCAAGTGCCTAACACGTGTCTGTATATCCTATACTTGGACACCCCCATCCGACGAACCAGATCGGAAAACATGTGAAAAATGATGAGAATCAGACGACAACATCCGTGTTTAGGTATAGTTTGCGAAACGATACAGGATCAACTCGCGACACACCTCGCCATCAAGGTCGTAAGCTAGTAGCTTAATTCCTCGGTGAGGATGTAATCGTCCGATCTGCATCCGCTAGACCAACTCGACAATTGCAAGCTCCACAGTTCACAGCGGCAACATGATATGGTATGTAAGAAAGTCGAAGAATCTTTTAAATTATAGAAAGGTGACATTTTGGATGTAAGAAACAAAATAATAAAAATTATTAAAAGGGTCCAAGAGTGTTATTCACCGGTCTACGTAATGGATTTAGATGTGAGTTAAAAGGAAGGTTTCGAATTCGTTTAATTTTCTTTTTTTTATATCGCTTGTTTGAGAACAAGTGAATATCTAAATATTCTCATCGACAATCTATCTTCAAATCATTCATTCTCTTTTCATGCCTGTAAAGCAAAGGTTTCCTTACATCTGCCTTAAATGAACAAAAAAAAAACAAAAAAAGAAAGAAATAAAACGACATGAGTACGAGCTCAGCCAGTAAACGGGGAGCTTCTATTGTTATTGAAGGATGTGAACGCACTGGCAAGTCAATACAATCGCGTGCACTGCATGAGTTTCTTCGGAACCGTGGGTTGCGGTCAAACGAATGGCGTTTCCGGAATGTAAATCAAATATTTGTCAAACAATTAATGCTTATTTTACTAACAAAAAGCAGATATCCGACGAAGCTATTCATCTCTTGTTCACAGCAAATCGTTGGGAATTTCAAAACGAGGTGAAAGAATTACTTTTATCTGGAACATCGCTGATTGTAGATCGCTACTTGTATTATGGTGTTGCCTATAGTAACAGCCAAAAGTCTTTGATTGGTGTTTGGCATCCAAAAAGGGTTATCGTCTTCTATATGAAAATGAATAGCATTGATGGTTTGTTAGAACGCGGCAATTTCGGCGATGTACGTTATGAAAAGAAAGAATTCAAAATAAAAGTTTCAAATGCTTTTGAAGACATTTACGCAAAAGAAACGCACTATTGGCACGAAATTGATGCAGAATTACCTGGCGATGATGTGCACAAAGAGACAGTAAAGCGAACTGAGTGCTTCTTGAAAATTCGGACCGTTAAAACTTTGGAATGTATGAAATGAGTAAAAAAATATCTAATTTAAAAACTACTAGAGCAAAAATTTAGAAAAATTTCAATTTCTCTTAAATTAAAAATTATAATCAATTATCTCAATTAAATTAAAAATTATAATCATATCAAAATTTCTGCTTTCATATAATAACACAATAAGCACATAATGAAAATACCTTAAACCCATTAGTTTTTACTGATTATCTTAAAAAAAACACATCAACATTCAAACAACAATGTACGAAGCCATTCAAACTCCCTTAACTCTTACTTTATTTATTTACAAGAATCTATTAACTAAGTGGCTACAATATATATGTTAAAAGCAAGAATTTTAAAATTTTATTTTGTACTATTAATTCATACATATATATTATTACTATTAACTCATACACATATATATATATATTTTTAAGTTTTTTTATATTTTATGGTAATTTTTATATCTACACCACCACAGAAATGGATCAACATTGCGACAGACAAAAGCCTAGGCAACAATGTACAGTACAAAAGGGTGGATCTTATATGTAAGAGCTTCGAAGATTATAAAGATTTTCAGCTCGAGCTGGAAAATACATACATACAAAACCGCCTCCAATAGTTAAAAAAAGGAATAAAACTTCAATCCATTTTTTATTGATACTGAACAATTTTCTAATAACGATCGATTTGAATTAATCAATTGCTTCGACCATTTAAGTAAGTAAGAAGAAAATGCAATCTACCAGTGAGTTCAGATACTCAAAACTAAAACGGCCGTTTGATTGCGATTCTAAGCTCACCAAAATACAAGTCTTTTTATTCCAAAACCCCTTTAGGTGTAGCATGGTGTAACGAGTCTTCTTCGGCAGGGTAGAAACTCAGCCACCCCAAGGTTCGTTGCAAGACAATTTATATGAAACGAAATGTTCTGAACCTTCGGGGATGTTCTTATATATTCTTTTATTGGTATGTGAGATTACAAGTGGCTTTGTAGCGGGTTGGGGAGGAACCAGCGAGGTGAACCGACGAGCGATTTGGCGCACACGTGACTGGAGGGTTTTTTCCCTTTCCCCGTAGTATCGCGGATTACTTACGCGGTTATGGCTCACTTGAGGCGTCTAAGACCGGTTGATGCATACGTCGTTGGAGATCGCGGTTTACTACAAAAAAAACAAACGGAAGCGTTGTTCCTGTCATAGCTGCCAACGGTTTGTCTCTGGTCGGTCATTCGTAAACAAAAATGTTCCCCAGTCCTTCAGGGATGACGACTAATAGCTAGCCAGTATATCCCCTATCCGTAGAGTCAGTAGCCCTAAAAAGTCCTTCAGGGATGACGACTAACAGCTAGCCAGTACATATCCTTTCCGTAGAGTCATAAAAATAAAAAACCCTTGTCAAATTGTGCGTGCACACTTACCTTAGACGACTATGACACAACTGAAAGATTCTGTGTGGTGAGTCGCTCTTTTATAGCTGCAGTATCGCTCGCTTGTTCCATTACCAATATGTACATGCTTAGTTTAGGTTGGCTTCGACGTGTTTGACGCAACCTTAGTTGCGACTTGCCTGAAATACTTATACATAACTTAATGCCAACTTACGTCTATCTTAATGCTATGTTTGATTGAATGCCTACTCAATTTGCACCCAGGTACCAAATCGCGTGATTCATCCACCGTTAAGTACGTGAGTACAATGTTTCCAATATTGTTCTTCGGCACTGGTTTTTTTCTTGTACGTTTCTTAACCTGGGTGTAGAATACTTCGCATCCGTTTCTACAGTGTTATACCATTTATATAGAGTAAGTATATTTTTCCTGTTTATGTGTGTTTATGCATGTTTATACATGTGTGTTTATATGCTTGGAATGTGTGCTCCTACATCTCTATACCTTTTTGCACAGTTTATACCTGCGTATATGTTTGCATGGCCTAACGGCGTTTATACAATGTTTCTACAGTTTATGCGTTTTCTATGATCGCATGTGCTCATACATTTTGAGCGTTGGTGCGTTGATCGTGGGTGCTTATGCATTCTTTTTTTTCCTAAGCGCTTATCCCCGTGTGTATGTTGTGCATGACCTAACGGCGTTTATACTTTTTCGTATATTTTTCTACCTATTTCTATGCTCGTGCATGTTCATACACTTGCTGCGTTGTCACATGATCATGTGTGCTTTTACATTTTTGGACCTAAGTGTTTATCCCTGGGTATATAGTTTTGTATGGCCTAACGGCGTTTATACTGTTTAGCAATTCCTATACTCGTATATGTGTTTCTATATTGTAATGCCACGGATTTTATATATTTTGACCCTTCTCTATATATTTTATACTCGTGTGGGTATTATAATGATTTTATACAGATTTTGGTACAGATTCTGTGCATATTTTATGCTCGCGTGTGTGTAATGATTTTATACAGATTTTATACCTTTTATACTCGTGTGTGTGTATTTATACAATCTTTGTGAAATGCTTAAGCTTTGTCGTTTATGTGGTTCCTTACCTTACGCTAGGGCCAGAGGAGGATGATCGTGTGCCCTACCCAGGGGTATTTAGGTTCTCGCGCGGAGGGAGGAACTGGATTGAAAGTTACTAGGGACTACGGGTAGACTTTTAAGCGGACCGGTTATTAGTAATGGATTATAACATCCAAAAATATCTAAAGATGCCATAAAATTTATATATATTCTTCCTCTTCATCAAATTAAAATTCCAAGTCATGAACGCAATATTAGATTTACCCTTCTCATTGAAACTCATGCAGGTATTTGGTATGTCTTGCAAATTAGAAGATAAACATTGTCCGATTACAAGGTAAAAATAACTTATGGATATAAAATTCGATATGTACAAATTTAACCGAAATACAGTTTGGCAACTCTGGGTGCGCGGTATAGTCATCTATATATTTTTTTCGGCAATTAATATTTTAATTTTTTGTTGAATTTCGTGGCTTTTTTGTCTTATTGTGTGTAAATTTATAATATTCTGTGAGAAGAAAGCGGGTGTACTCAAGGTAAAAGAAGTACGTTTTCTCTACGTTTTGAGTCATTGGATTTTTGCAAACAAAAATTGAACTCTGATTTAAGTCTCTCTTTTTCGGTTTTGTTTTTTTCTCTCTTTTTTTGTTTATTTTTTTTTTTTGGTGTTTGGGTTTTGTTTTGCTTTTGCTAATCAAATCAATTGAATTGCTACCACTCCTGACGTTGAATTTATCGCCATTCGAGTGAAAATGCCTAATAAACCACTATTTATAATCTGCTCCTATATTCCCCCAAATTCTGATATTTCAATATATAAGAAACAAGCTGCCCTCATTTGTGAAGTGGCCAAGCAGTCGAAACCCTCCGATTTGGTAGTTGCCCCAAGCCACTTGGAGTAACAGGTATAATTCTGGTTGTTTGATTCCTACTTCAACATCTGATAGCGCTGTTGTGTTCTTTAACGGATTATTTGATCATAATTTAGTTCAATACAACCGTATCCCTAATTGTAGTGGTAGACTGCTTGATCTCTGCTTTGCCAATTTCCCAGATATTAGTGTAAATCGTTGACCACCTTTCAGTTTACCTAGGGATCCTTATTATCCAGCAATGTGTATTTCCTTTCATCACAAGCATGATGGTTCGTTGAACTGTTGTAAGGTTCCAAATCCAACTTTTTCAAACAAATATTACGATTTTCATAAAATCAATATTGTATTGCTAAAATATAAAGTATTGAAAGCTTATTGTCATCGTTCTAGAATACATTAAATCTAGCTATTGCTGCGTCTGTTCCAATGAAGCAGTTCCGAGCTCGAATTAGGTGTCCCCCGTGGTTTAACAGGACAATTAAATATTACAAGAACAGAAAAAACACGCTATTCAAAAAATATTCGAAAAGTGGCTCTGCTCTTGACTATTTCGGTTACTCTGTGGCAAGGCATAGATTTAGCCCCCCCAATCACAAATATTACTGTAGATACCTTCAGTTCATTAAATTCTCTCTGCTTGCTAATCCTAAATACTTTTTTAAATTTGTTAACTCTAAAAAAAAAAAATTCCACACATTCTTTGCATGTTTCTTTTAATGGCTCTGATTCCTCGGATGATTTTGAAATCTGTTTGCTGAGTATTTCCGACGAAACTTTTCGATTGCTAATTCCGATTTATCCGTAAACTACCCCTATCCTATAACTAACTTGGTTTCAATTCCTAATTTGGTTATTGGTGAGGATGATGTTTTTAAAGGCTTGAGCTCTCTAAAATATAGTTGTGCACCTGGAACTGATGAAATTCCATCATGTGTACTTAAATCTTGCGTTGTAGAGCTATATGGTGTTATCTTTAAGATTTTTAACCGGTCTTTGGATATAGGTGTTTTCCCTTCGTGTTGGAAAAATAGTTTCCTTATACCTATCCACAAAAGTGGAAGTAGAGAATTTGTTGACAATTACAGAGGCATAGCCAAGTTGAGTGTCTTGCCTAAGTTGTTCAAGCGGATTGTTACTCAGCTTTTGCCATTAATTCGTATATTTCTCCACACCAGCATGGCTTTCGGAAAGGGCGATCTACAGTCACCAATTTGTTAGAGTTTACTTGTCATATTTTCAAGGCTTTTTCTAGTGGGTGTCGCACAGATGTAATGTATACTGTTTTAAGCAAAGGGTTTGATTTGGTTAACCATAACTTACTTATCTTTAAACTCCGAGCTTCTGGCTTCCCTTTCTATTTGGTGAAATGGGTAATCTCTTATCTCCCACTTAGGTCCCATTTTATTTAGTTTATATATTAATGATCTCCCACCGGTGATTAGTCAGGTCTTAATGTATACTGATGATTTGAAACTGTTTTCTTCCTCCTCTCTAGAATCGCAATGACATCAGCTTCAAAGTGACTTGAATAATTTGGTTGCATGGTGCTCTTTGAATGTTCTGAAACTAAATCTAAATAAATGTAAAAGGAGCTTTCTTCCTCATTACTCAGTATTTCATTGATTCGAATAAGTTGGAGGACGTCGATACGTTCACAGATTTAGGCGTTCTATTTGACCATAAACT